AGTTAAGGATTTCACATCCCACCAACTCCACACTGATGCTTTCGTATATCAGCCCTTCCCTTAATTGTACAAACTATTTGGCCGTTATTTTTTAGGCTGGACACCCTTCCTGTCACAACCTTAACTCAAACCCACAATGTGAGGATTACAAGACAGTGGCACTGACCACCAAGCTACCACAGCCACTGACGCTTATTTTGGAGCTATATGCTCCAAAACATCTAATTCAGAGCTCAGTTGGAGAAAAGGGTAAGAGTCAGGACAGGATAGCAAAAAGAAAGTGTGAGTGTAATATTGTGATTTGACAATTGCAGTAGACAAAACTTCAGAAACATGAACCATTTGATGAGAGAAAAAAGGTGCAGAAGACATTTATTTTTTAAATTTTACAATATTACAATGATCAAACGTCTGCTGCAGTGGTTCCCAAATTTTTCAACAAAAGTCGTAGAAACTTTTGACCTTGCGCCAACGCCAACAATCATTTAGGTCATTTTTAAACTACAGATTTACAAGCATTTTAACATACTGTTTGTTTAGTATCTTTTCATGTTATACTTCCATAAAAATAAACTGTCAAATTGTAGGAAAACCATTAAAGTCTCTGTTTATTACGACCTGAATTTTTTTGTGAAAGTTTGTTTTTGCCGTCATTCATTACAGAACATCTTGCATCGGTGTTTCTTTAATTTGTGTCCTGAAAACCAATCCAGAACAATTGATCTTGTAGAGTGCATTGGAGGGGAACAGGATCATTCACTCGCCCATTAGTGGATCCATTTTGACACAGAACCAGACCAGCTTCTAAAGGACGTTCAACTCCTCCACCTGACTGACTCACCGTGGAGCTGGAGGATTCAGCAGAACTTCAACCAGCCGCAGAGGTTTGACCAGCGTATGTAGTTGCCAACAATGTTGTCCATCCTTCAAGCCACTGCCCTGTTGTGGTGGATTTTTCTGTGCTCACATTGTGGCTCTTCATATGAGCTGCAGGACACCCTCCACACTCTGAAGGAGGAGAACCTCCACCTGCGGCACCGACTGGAGAATGTAACCCGGGCTCTTAGAGAGCTGAAACACCTTCTGACAGAGCACTCCAAAGGTGAGAGCACAGATATCCCATCATGCAGACATTCATTGTCATTATGAGACATTTTTATTTGAAATATTTCACTGAACAGCTTCTGAGGGGGAGCAAGACCCTAAATATCTGCATGTGTGGAAGGAGTGGTCCCAACACGGTGAGCTCTAAAACTGAGTGTTTTATAAAAGCAGTTTATGTCACCTAAATGTCTTTATCCTAAAAAAATAAATAAATAAATAAAACACTGTGCTTCCAGGCATTAGTGCTGAGACTCACCAACAGCTGGAGCAGGTTCTGTGCTTATCTGAACTTTATGACACGGTCAACCCCATCTTCATCACTCCGGGCATCCTCCTCCTCTCGTCTCTTGTGTCGGTGATTCTCACGTTGCAACCTTGGATTTAACCAACAACTTCTAATATTTATGCTTTGAATTATTATTGTTCTATTTCAGTTTTTTTTCCACATTTGATCTAAGCATCGGTTTGCAAAACTGCAGAATTTTAAGCTTTAGTGGCACATATGTAGAACAATTTAAAACGATTTACATGCCAGATGATAAAGGAAAATTATGGGATTTATTCTGCTGTGAGTGTCGTTTTATTGGTCTTTATGTTTCTAAATGTGTGTCATCAAACTTGGGACAAATAAAAAAGCATTACAGACAAGAAAAATCTCCCTCAAAAGGCTTTTGTGTGGTTAACCTGTTCCTGGCTCTTATTTTCCTAGTTAAAAATTAAAGCAGTCTTTTAAAAGTAACAGTTTGAGCTTAAAATGTAGATTCTTAAACAAAAATGAGCAGGTATCTCACAGAAAACATTCATAAATCAGTAAAATCATAACTCAACTCAGGTAAAGTTTTGTAAAGATGTTTCTGCTCACAATAAAATACCGTATTTACTGGGATACACTTCTGTTTCCTTCATCAAATGAATGCTATTTTTAAAATGCAGTACAAAAACAAACTTTCACACACAGTCACATGGTTCTTGAATGGCAAATAAAGGACAAAAATAGACATGAATCTCTTTGCAGTTTATTTTTAGCTTTCACAAAATAAATGTTTCACATTTTAGGTGATGTTTATTCATCAACATTAAAATTAAACATTGTAATTCAAATAAAATTAAACGTTTCATACCAAAACTGGTATTAACCCAGATATAGGAAAAAAGCTATACTTCAAACAAATAAATATGTGTAGGATAAAGTTTATTTTTCTAAATATTTCTGCAATTATTTCAATTTATTTCAATATTTTGACAGTATGATGGTTTACTGAGCCTGTTCTTAGACAACACATCCAGGACTTTATCAAAGTAATTCACCCAGACTTTGGTCAAACCTTAACGTTAAAATGTGTCCTCATTCAATTTATAAAGTGGAACTTTGCACCTTATTTGGTGTTTTTATGTTCTTCATGTAGCATTTTGTCAGCTATTCTGCTTAATTAAGAGAGCCCTCCCTGCATAGATTATAAATCGGCACAATTGCTCTTTCATTTCCATTTGATTATGCTGAACAGACCATCAATTTACATTTGCAAGGACTTTGTCTGTCCCTAGTAGTATGCTGGCTGCAGCCATGGCCGTGTGGACACCCATGTGAATGCAGCAGCTACAAAAGCATTATCATATATTGCAGATAATCTTAAAAATGCAAAAAGCACAGACAATTCTCCAAGTGAAAGTGAAGCTGTATTTAGTGAACGTTAAAATTTATTTTGCTTTTAGAACCTGCTTCATGTGGCTCTTTATTGATGAATTGATTGTTGTAGAAGTTTTATTTTAATTGCCCATTAACCTAATTTCACGAGGGCAAAACCAACAGTTATTGACGGATTAATCAGGATTGCTGTGTTGCCAAGATCATTATTTAGTGCCATTGTGAAGTTGATTTACTCAGTATTTTGTTGGGGACTGAATGTCCGCGGACTCTTAATTGCAGCAGCTTGAGGTGCAGAATAGGGTTTATAATATGTGTGATGAAATTTAAATGCTGCTCTGACACCTAACAAACATGAGCTCACTTCATGCTTCACAACAGCTCCTCAGACTGAGGAAGTCTCTCGGATGAGAGACGAAACGTTTCTACATTTTTTTGTTGATTTGCTTTGTTTTGTTTTTTTGAATGTCCAGAGGACCAGATTTAACTTTTTTAGATTTTTCTACCTGGATTATTGAGCATGCATCAGGATGAGCTCACTTGTTTTGTAGTTAATAAAAGTATCAACTTCACTTTTTATATCGGATGTTTAAGGATAATAATAATAATTTAAAAAAACTGACTAGTCCCCCTGTGAATATTTTACATATTTTATATTATTTTATATTGTGCTATAAATGCAATAAATATTAATTTATTACATTTATTCATATTTTCACAATACAGTTTTGTAAAATTGCTAACAGGATTGCATGCTGTGTTCTTTGCTGCACCATGCACTTTTATTTCATTATTTATTTCATTATTTCTTTATTTCATTATTTATTTATTCATTTATTTATTGTCATTTTTAAAGCCTTTCCCCATCAGATCAACATTACATTTGTCCTTCCTAATCTTTTTGCAATGTCACTTCTTAGTTAAAGTTATAAAACAACAAACATGATGGTTAGAGCCAAAATCTGTGCGTTTTTCTCCTCATTAAGTTGAACATTGTTCAGACATAATTGTATATAATTTAATTTGATTGTTGTGTGTTGCAAGCAATCAA